GTGTTCGGCGCGAATCGGAGCCTGTCGGCGGCGCAGCTCCGGCGCCTGCTGGAGCAGCTGGGAGCCGCCCCCCGCCAGGGCGCCCTGGAGCCCGGCCAGCTGCACTTTAACCAGGTACCGCCGCCGGGCCCCGGCAGGCCCTCCGTACTGGGAAGAGGGTGTCCGTAGGCTTCCATTTGTATGGGAACCGTTTTTATTTGGGCAAAATGTAGGGGAAAGAATTTTGTTTCTCAAGTAGGTGGCGGTAACTGATTGACGGCGCTTGATTGTCACTAGACCGGGCTAGACTGTTAAAGGGCTCGTGGTAAGGGATTTGGCAGTCAGAAATTGTAGTTTTACGCCTGATGAGCTGAGCGGTCAGACGCTTGTGGCTGTAAGATTTTATAGGAAAGTTTATGAAATAGTTGAGGGTGGGAAGCCACCTTAAGAGATGCTTTTTATTTTTATTTTATTTTTTTGAGTTGCAGTCTCACTCTGTCGCCCAGACTGGAGTGCAGTGGCCGCTCCCGGCCACCGCAGCCTCGACTTGCTGGGCTCCGGCGATCCTTCCGCCTCAGCCTTCCGAGTAGCCGGAATTACGGGCGTGCGCTACCACGCCCGGCTAATTTTTTGATTTATTGTAGAGATGAGGTCTCGCCAAGTTGCCCAGGCGGGTCTTGAAGCCGCGGGCTCAGGCAATCCACTCACTTCAGCCTCCAAAAGCACGGGATTACAGGCTGAGCCACCGAGCCCGGCTATGAGATGCTTTTTAGATAGGAATGAGGGCACTTAAATCCTACGATAACGATTTACACACTTCCTACAGAGTCACCAAGGAAGACATAGTCTATGATTGGGTATTTCTGAAAATTGTGAAGTAGACAAAGAGTGCTTTCTGCATCCTCACAAAACTTCCCTCTCCCTTAAAAAACTCAGTTAACTCTGTGCTTTGATTTTTTCCCTTCTCTGGGCCCACTGACAACTGATTACATGCCACCCTCTTAACATTTGCCGAATGGGTGACCACTGCCATTTAAAAACGAGATATAGGCCGGGTTTGGTGGCTCAACCTGTAATCCCAGAGCTTTGGGAGGCCGAGGTGAGTGGATTGCCTGAGCCCGCGGGTTCGAGACCCGTCTGGGCAACTTGGCGAGACCTCGTCTCTACAATAAATCAAAAATTAGCCGGGCATGGTAGCACGCTCCTGTAGTTCCAGTTACTTGGCAGGCTGAGGCGGAAGGATAGCTGGAGCCCAGCAGGTCGAGGCTGCGGTGGCCCGGAGCGGCCACTGCACTCCAGTTTGGGTGACAGAGTGAGACTCCAACTCAAAAAAATAAAAATAAAAAAATAAAAATAAAAATAAAAAAATAAAAAAATAAAAATAAAAATAAAAACGAGATATAATGTAGTCTGGCTCCTATGTGCATTGCTCGAGCAATTCCAGTGGATGGGGAAACTGAGGAAGTCTTGAGACCAAGATCACAATTTGGAGTTCCAGTTGGTGGCAGACTGAGTTTGAGTTAGTTTCTTGTCATCTATCTGGTCAAGTGTTTGATTCTAATACTTATAAATAAAAAAAAGCAAAACAAAGAAACATTTCTAAGTACATATATATGGTTCTACTAGGCAATTAGTAATATCTTGCTTAAGGACAGCCTTAAACTACCTAGGAGTAATTAAAGATCATTCCTGTTGGTAAACACAAAACTCAAATGATTCTTAATTTTCCATAATAAATACTCTATGATTGGATATTTCTGAAAATTGTGATGTAGGCAAAGTGTGATCTCTGTGTCCTCGCAAAACTCCCCCCCCTTTAAAAAACTCTGTTAACTCAGTGCTTTGCTTTTCTCCTTGTCTTAGACCACTGACAACTGATCTTGAATAGTAGAATGCAATGTAGTATTTTCCACAGTGGTTGTCACTTTTAGGAAATGTTAATCTGTTACAAAAATTTTTGTGGCCCAAGATGTTTGAGAGCATACTATACTCCACTCTTGGAAACTTGGCATTGTCTGGTGAATCTGACCTTAGATTACAGTTAGGGAAACTTTAATCAGTTACATTCCTTGTTAATGATACAGGTAGATTAGTATTCTTTTTGTTAACAATCTCTTCCCACAATTAAACTATATGGCTTTCAAGAAGTAGAACTTTCTGATGCCATGGGATTTTAGAGGGACTCTGTCTTTGAACCTAGAAGGAATTTCTCTCTCTCTCCCTCTTTTTTTTTTTTTTTGAGTTGGAGTTTCACTTTGTTGCCCAGACTGGAGTGCAGTGGCACGCTCCTGGCCACCGCAGCCTCGACCTGTTGGGCTCAGGGGATCCTTTTGCCTCAGCCTTCCAAGTAGCTGGAACTACAGGCAATCGCTACTATGCCCAGCTAATTTTTACTTATTGTAGAGACAAGGTCTCGCCAAGTTTCCTGGGTGGTTCTCGAACCCGTAGGCTCAGGCAATCCACTCACCTCGGCCTCCCAAAGTGCTGGAATTACAGGCTGAGCCACTGAAGCAGACCTTTGTGGTCTCTTTATGCATGTTCTTTAGTAAACTGTCTACAGATCCACTTCTGGTCAGGATGTTATGCTTAGGTTGGGAAAACTGAAATGTCCATATGGTATGTCGAAAGTTTAGAAAGTGGATCAAATAACTTCTGAAGTATTTGCTTGTTAGTTGCATTCTCTGTTTTCAAGTATGGGAAACAGATGAGCTGACTGTGGTATCACTAGGTAGATATGGGCATATGCTTGGAAAGAAGCTGAGAGACTTGACTTGAAGCTGCATATCTGTAGCCCACACATTGTTTTGACTTCAGTGATCTCCTTATCTTGCAGTGTCTGTAGGTGTTGATGAATTTTGAAGGGGAAGAAGACCCTCCAAGTCACCCTTGTAAAGACACAGGAAAACACACCTAAATTAGTTAGGGAAATGGGTTAAATTTATTAGCAATATGATTCTCAGTTTATTAGCAGGTGGGATGTCTCAATAGATAAGTTATATGTATTTTTACGCCATGTTTCTCATTCTCTTTTGTGCATATTTAACTACCTTCATTATAGCCTTTGTGGGCATCAAAGAGAGACAGGAAGAAGCTCAGAATTATCTTGGAAACAAAGGGAAGCCAAGGAAAATTTACCATTTAATCAGGCCTAAGAAGTACCTGTTTAGCCAGACTTGGTGGCTCAGCCTGTAATCCCAGTGCTTTGGAAGGCTGAGGTGAGTGGATTGCCTGAGCCCGCGGGTTTGAGACCCGCCTAGGCAACTTGGCGAGACCTCATCTCTACAATAGATCAAAAAAATTAGCCAGGCATGGTAGCACGTGCCTGTAGTTCCAGCTTCTTGGAAGGCTGAGGCAGAAGGATAGCTGGAGCCCAGCAGGTAGAGGCTGCGGTGGCCGGAAGCGTTCACTGCACTCCAGTCTGGGTGACTGAGACTCCAACTCAAAAAAAAAGAAATATCTGTTTGATGTTCTAAAAAGTCCTAGTAAAAACAGCAATTATTTGTTGGTTAAATAATAACAAATAAAATGCCAATTCAGAAGAATTTATTAACTTGATGATATTTGATGGACTTGAGTCAAGACATTCATATATGCTGCAGCATGAAACCATCCAATTTATAGTAAAATTTAGGGCCACTAATGTCTCTATATCTTAAAGAATGCAACTTCCATCTCCTCACTTGCCACAGAGTAGAATAAAAAATGTACGGATCTGTTGTGAGAAATTTGATTTTGTGAAAAAAGTCTGAGAAAATAATTTGTTTCTATGGGCCAGGAATTTACTGAATCTAATATAAGGTATATCTACAAATGACATTGTTCCTTTGGATGAGGGCTTGTGATAGTTATGAGGTAGCTTCACCCAGGTGATAGACTGCTGAACTCTGCAAATTTGTTAGACAGTTTCAGAAGGTTTTGAAGCCGGGTTAGTACTTGTTAGGCATAGATAGATAAACTTCTTGTAGGCAGGTTTTAGGAAGCATTCAGATATTTTTCCTCTGAGATCATACGAGATCAGGTACATTCAGGATGGTATGGCCATAAATCAGACATTTTTCTCATTACGTTTTCCCCTTGGAAAATAAAAAGAAAATTCCATCATATTTAAGAATGGGACAGCCCAAACTTTCAGTTCATGGTTGAACATCAATAATCACTCTTTCAGGTTCCCTGTTGAGAGTAGAAGACTGAACACCACCCTTTAACTAACCAAAACCATAGAAACGATGATAAGATCACCTGCATGAACTTGTGTACTGATAAATCTGGCAATTCTCCTAAAAAGAATGTGTGTTCTAGAATAAGACCACACTCTCCTCCTATCAGAGGCAGAAAGATGGTTGAGGTTACCTGTGCCCCATCCTCTTTAGCATATCAATTATTGTGAAAATATATCCAGCTTTTTTTTTTTTTTTGAGTTGGAGTCTCACTCTGCCACTCAGACTGGAGTGCAGTGGCCACTCCCAGCCACCGCAGCCTCGACCTGCTGGGCTCCGGCGATCCTTCCACCTCAGCCTTCCAAGCAGCTAGAACTACAGGCGTGCATTACCACGCCCGGCTCATTTTTTGATTTATTGTAGAGATGAGGTCTCGCCAAGTTGCCCAGGAGGGTCTCGAACCCGCGGGCTCAGGCAATCCACTCACCTCAGCCTCCCAAAGGCGCGGGATTACAGGCTGAGCCACCGAGCCTGGGTTTATCCAGCTTTTTAGTTAAGAACAAAAGCATAAAATTTTTCAAGAGACTCACCTGTGCCAGGCCTTTCAGGCATGAATCTTCCACTTTTCCCCTTGTTTTCTTGCCGATAAACTTTGTTTTTAAAATTTGCTGGTGGATCTGAAAATCATCTTCCAGTCAAAGAACCCACAAGTTTGTGCCATACTATACCTGGCAACAGGTTTTCTAATATTTCTTCAGTGTCATAAGTTATATTAAATTAACTTGTTGCATTGGGATATCAAAGTGACCTGAGTTCAAACTGAAGACAGTAAAACAATTCAGTTAGTTGTTTTGCTTCTTATAGCTATTGGGGGTGCAAAGAGTTAAGTAGAAGTGGCGAGCCAAACAACAGAGAGGAGGGAGCCCTATTAGCCACATGGGTCTCTGGGGCCCTCATTTCTGGATGTAGGTCTGACCT